AAAAAAAAAATTATACTATTTATAAATATTACATGGATTGTTTATTAATTGTATTAAAGTTACGTAGTAATATTATTTTTCCCGTTCAACGAGCAGCACGCGACAATTGGCCGCCGTGTATTTGTTGTATTAATTTTATTACACTAATTAAAATCATAAATCATAAATTAAGTTTTTAACTGTTAGGCGGAAGGAAGTTTTCCAAGTTAACTAATTATTTTTATTTAATGGACATTTACAAAAGTTCTCTGTATGAACATAGAAACAATGTACAAAAACAAGTATATGTGCCACAGTGGATCTACCTTTATTTATGTGGACATCTATTTTTATTTAAAATAACTGGTAAGTAATGTTAAAATTACTTACCAGTTATGTACAGCTGTTGATTTTATAATAATTTTTATATTAATTTATTATCTCATAAAATCAATGGTACAGCTTTTTTCAATGTTTAAAATCTTGAACGAGGTGAAGAATCATAGGTAGCCTATGTTAAAATATCAAAATCATTATTCCAAGGTGGAAAAATTGATTTTCTGGTTGAGAACTAAAAAATGGTCTGTGCAAAATGGCAACTTCACGGAAAAAAAAATTTTAAAAAACCAATGATTAAAAATAAAATGATATAGATTGTAAAAATGACTAGTGTAGAACATAATAAGTGATGTTATTAGATATGAGCAAATATGATGATCAAAAATCAGTACTATTCAAGTTTTGACCAATTAAAACTCAGTTAAGCACTGATCAAGATATACGTATCTAGTCGTTGATCAGAAGCGTATCCAGGAATTTTTTATGGGGGGGAGGTCCAACATTTTTATTTTATCTGTTCTCTAATTATAATTATAGTTAAATTTAATACCAACAAATTACTGTTAACATGGCCGGATCTAGGGGGGGGGAGTTGGAGATTTATCCCCAGGCATATTTTTAAGTTATACTATATACTAATTCTGATCCTCCCTGACTGTTAATAACTATAGTAATACTCACAATAGTTATACACACATCACACATATTCTGCACAAATGTTTACTGCAATAGGTAGTTACTATGATAAAAAATCAATTTTTATTTGGTAAATATTTTTTAACGTAATTGATATTAAATTATTTTTATCAATGTATGAATGGAGATGAGAGTAGTTTTCAGGAGGTTAAAAATAAGTTTTTAAAATACGAAATGTTAATCCCTAAATACTTAAGGGGATTCGATCCGGGTAGTTTTTAAGAGGTTGAATTTAGGCAATTTGTCACACGTGTGCGTGAACGCCATGAGTGTGTGCGAAATAAATGATCACTATTGTGTGTAATTACCCCGCTCTAAACCCTCTTCCAATATGCCATGCCGGGCCATATTACTCTCGTGCTGTTAATCACCCAGGCACATAGCTAAAGGAGGGCCAGGGTATATATGGCCCACCCTAATATGTGTCCGGACTTGGCCGACCCACCTAAAATATTGAGAGGGGCCCATTATTATATGATTGCTTTAAATTTTTACCAAATTTTTAATATTGTCTAAATATGACGCAAATAAAACCAAATACATCGGGTTTATAATCTAAGTAATGTAACTTGTAACTAAATTTAAAGGATCGATTAGGAAATAATTGCTATTTATAGCTAAATACCGGTACTATACTACAATATCAAGTTGTTCTTATCATATCTAGACAGTGACTACTGTATACTTGTATGTCTATTTTTAAAATACTTTGAGCGAGGGTATTGTCATTATATTGATTCATATAGAATTATATTATGGTCTCCGATTGAGCACATTCAGTGCACGCCGCACTTATGCTAACGTCACCTGCGTTAAAATATTTGTACAATTTATAGTATTTATACATTTTATCTTATATATTTAAAATAATTTTAAAATGGCACCTCTCAGTGGATGTGCCAAAAGAAAACTAAAATTACAAAGAGAAGAGCAAAATGATAAAATATGGTATTATTAGGTTATATACATATATATTTGTAATAATGATACATTGATAACTACATTTTTATAATATAAAAAAGTCCTGGGAGGAAGGGACCCACCTAGTGAATATTTTCTAACTACGTGCCTGTAATCACCAATGCACCGACGCTATGACAGAACCAGTTTTCCAATCATAGATATCACAGAATTGCTTATTTTATAATATATTAAAAATATAATAAAATAGTAACTTCTTTGTATTTTAGCTATATACCATAAACCAAACACGAATGACTGCTACTGTCAATTTCTAAAATTTTCATTTACAAAATTACCTATGTCTCATCTTTGAGAGTTTATTTATAGGCTTTTGAATTATGACAATATTTAGCCCAGTCCATTTAGGTATAATATAATATAAAATAAACAGATTGATAACAATGCCAGCACTTTAATTAGCGGAAGGTTACTTCCACACGCGCATACACAAGTCAAATTACACTGTTGCGAGGAATATGATTTGGTTCTATTTTTTTCGAAAAGAATCAATTTTTTGCCAATCATACTGGTTTCCTTGGTCATCGGATAGAACTTCTAAAAACGTATTTGAATTAGTCATGAAGTTTACTTGAAATTGACTTTTTTAAATTTATAAATTATTTTATCAATTTTATATAATTTACATTATAAATTTATTATTATTTTAGATTTTAAAATTCAGTCACTTTTTCGGGAAAAAAAATTTAAATTTAAATTAAATAGTTACTAAGACCAGAATTTCGAACGTTTAAATTAACTTTCAGTTTTAGGGGGGGGATAGGCAGTGGCAGCTTTTTGCTTACCCTGAAAAAGATGTCTGTGCACGCCTATGCAGGTCCATATATATGGGCGGCAAAATAATTTTGAGCCCCTATGTATGTTGATAAATAAATATGTAAGAATGAAAAAAAAGAAAATTGAAATCAAAGTAATAATTGTTCCTTGGACAATTATTACTTTGATTTCACATTTTTATTGAGTTTTAAACTTTATTGATGTACAATTTCAATTTTTGATTTATAATTAAATTACATTATGTTATTATAAAATCAATGTTAATATAACTTATATGAATGTAATATAATTTAGGTACACATAAATCACAATTCATATTTTTGTATCCGTTTACATGCAAATATTTGTAAATTAATAAATTATTAATTAGTACACGTATAGTATATATACACCTAATTCGATGTAATACTTTAGAAGAAACTATTGTGGTTATGTGTTATTATTGAATTATAGTTCTATATTTTTAATTTTTTAAAACATATTATCAGTAAGACAACAAGTAATACAATAATTCAAACAACCTGAAAAAATACTGGTATAACTAGAAATATTTCCATAAATATCTTCCTTAAAAAGTTAAATTACTATATCCTATATAATAAAACCGTATTTGTTAAATCATGGGAGATCTATAATTATTCTCCCATATATATTTTTATATACTTTTCTACATAATGAGTATAATTAACGGTTTATACATTATGATATATTACATAAATATCATATATGAAATATTCTGATTTATAGTCAGTGCTCGACTTAAAAAAAATTAAAGGAACTCTATTTACTTTAAAAAAAAAACGTCCCCAAAACTTGTTAAGTGTTTATTATTATAATACAATAATAGTAAGGGGACGCTAAAATTTCTGAAAATTAATTGGGATACTCCATTTCCCCTCAAGTCGAGTACTGTTTATAGTATCATCTATAATAGTAAATTACTATATTATTATAAATTTTAATTCTGAATTTTCCAATACACAATTTACATGGTACCTTTTAGATTCATAAATCTGGTTAGGAAGAATATAATGATTTTTTTATTATTTATTTTTCTTTTTTTTATTACAAATACTTTTGTAAAAATATTTGTTTGTATATATTTTCTCTACAAATTTACCGCCCCCTTATAAATTTCGGTGGGGTAAATATCCCTTAAGATCCCCCCTTAATGCGCTTCTGATTTCATGTCTCAACTTTCTAAGTTGTATTCCTGAAGATGGAGTTGAACATAATCGATGGGATTGAAAGCACAAACCAATACAAAAGAATCACAACTGAATAACGAAAGTTTGGTATTGAATTTCCAAATGGTGGGGGAGGATTAAAGACCCTAAAATGAGCCGCTGAGTTACAATAATCCTACGCTAGTAAAAATTGAAATTACACCACTGCTTTTGCATAGACAGGTAGTAATGAAGTGATGCTATAGATTTAATTTTTTTTATCATTGTATTCAAGGTCAATAAAAAATATTGGAAGTCAGTTGTTTTTTACATTGTGAATTTTTCTCACAATGTATTTTTCTGCAATGTGGAAGAACTTGTCAGTATTGAGAGTGAAATAATGCAGGTTTCTGATAACTATTCTAAAAGGACGCATCAAAAGCGAGAATAAAAGTGTACATATATTGTATATTAATTCAGAATTCATATATATTTTAAGTAATAATATTTATGATAATATAATATTATGTATATTCTAATAATTATTAATTTGTTATTAATTTTTAATACAAATTGTATAGCTCTTAATTACTTATCTATCTTTTATTATTTAAAGATGTTATAAATAGTATTAGTTATGCTTAAAAATGAATAAGGAGCATTCGTTTATTGTATAATTTTATATAAGTATAAATTATATGTATATAATATATATACATATAATATATATACATATAATATATATATATATACAATTTAATGTAGTTTTAAGCATAAACAATCACAAAGCTATCTTGTCGCTAATTTTATTGCATTGCGTTTATGTATGTATGCTATGTATGCTAAGATTTACTTTTATAAACGTATAAAATATATCCAACTTAAATTAATACATTTAATTGATACCTGATAAAATTGAAATATAATAGATTTAATTATTTTGTGATGTAATATATTAATTTTGTAAGAAATATAAATAAATCAGTACACAAAAGATTTAAAAAAAAAATTATTATTTTTTCATTAATTTGTTTTACAAAATATTTAATCTTAAAAATAGGAATGATAATATTTAAATACAAAATTCAGTAAATATTAACTTAATATTTATCTATCCATGACTTGAAATTTAATTAACGTTAATTACTTCAATGGATTTGCTAAGGTGTATATTAACCGAATAGTTTCATTGAATTGTTGTTTCTCTGAAATACATTTTAAATTAAAAACAATAAATAATAAAATAAATAAAATATAAAACTAAAATTAAAAATGGTTAAATCTCGTAAATTAATAAATAAATGAACAAATAGTTTATACATGGGTAGAAATAAATAAATATGTTAGCTTGGAGTATTATTATATTTGTAAAGTATGACTGGTTTCAAATTAAAAATTCTTTATCAAATATATACAAAATTAATAAAAATTGCAAGTGAATATGAAAAAATGAACTTTTTATATACCTAATGATGAATTTTTAACTTGAACTAGTTGTATAGTTGTACTATACAAATATAATAATACTCCAGTATAAGCTTTAATTTATTATTTATATCTACATATAAACTTATTGTTTATTTATTTAAAAACAGTAAGTTGAATAATAGAACAAATAGTTCCTAAATTATTAAATTATCACGTGATTACAAAAACTTAATATTATAGTCAATAAATAGGTAAATTAAAAGAGAAAATATGAATAAAATATGTAAAGACCATCATGTAGGCATGCAAAATTTTTAGATTCAAAATGTATTTTAAACAATAAATTATAAATTTTAATTCATTTTTCAATAGCTATTAAAATTTCAAAATTAACTTAAGTACTTTGTAATTAATTCCAAACATAACACATTTTTTTTTACCGAAGTCAACAGTAATTGATGATGGCAAATTGTAATAACTCTCTCCGCCAACAGTTGATTTATCCTTGGCCAAACCATGCACTTCTACCCATCCATCTAATGAACTGTCAATGGCCTCATGGAAGTTAACTGTTACTACTTGGTCGTCTGTTGTTTGTAATGTTAATGTTTTGCTATCATCACTGACCTATAGAAAATAAATTAACAATATATAACAGTAAATAAAAACTATTGTCACATAGTAGATACCTTTACTACACTACCAATCAAAGTGACTGGTTTGTCGATGTATTTCATCAAATATGAACCATTGACAAAAGCACGTGTGGGTATTAATTTAGATTCCATTTCTCAATTGATTTTATAATGTTATACCAATATTAATGTTAAATGTTAATTGTAAATGGATTTACGACACAGTATAAAACTTAGTAAAATAACCGTATTACTGACAAGTACGCAGTCTCCAATAGTTTGTGCTATCACATCAAATCTATTCTGTGATGCTATTACGGAAGTTTTCCCGGTTTTTCAACCGCCTTATCATGAATTGTAACACATACCCTAACCATAGATTATATTAAATTTTATATAATCTGTTTTACATAATCTGTGTCTATATGATAACATATGTTATAGAATCATATCATATAGAGTTTAATTGAATTAGCAAACTACATTAAAACGTTCGTTTCCGTGGGTCTTTTCATAGAATCAAAATCTTAAATCATGTTTAGAAAACGTCATTAACAGAGTTGTCTCAAAAAATCAACTGTAAGGGGGAGCCATAAAAATTTTCTGGCTTTGCTCGAATATTTTCATGTTATAATGTACTTAATTTATTTTTTTTTATTTTTTTCTTATTGTTTAAAATACATTTGTTTTATATATTTCAAAAATAGTTATTATTCACTTTGGTATCAAATAAAAATAGTAGTACCTATAGATACCAAACTATTATTTTTAACTATGTTGATATTATATATCATTGAATAGTAGGTATATAGTGCAGTATAATAAATCTCCATTTTAACCAAAGATTTTATTATAAAAAAAGGTATGTACAATATAATTATGATGGCCAGGATTCAAAGACAAATATTTTAATACATATTCTACATACAAATATATATTATAAATTTATAAAACTTTAACAATTTTTTTTTTTTTTTTTACTAACAATTAAACTTAAAAAAAAATTAACAGTTAAATAATTAAATCTCTATTCTACGTTATTTTAATGACCACTGTTGTGCTAATTTATTAATGTCCAATTGGTCCACAGTATCCAAGCCAGGATTATGACAATTTAGAGCCCGGGGTCAAACAATTTTAAGGGCCCATAACCATAATCAAAATATTGATGACCTACACATAAATATATTTCAGAGACAAAAAAAAAAATTATATTCTAATTTATAAATTTATTTATTGCTTTTTTGATACAAAAATAAAAATTTTATTCGTATAAATAATTTTTTCTTTATTTTTGGAAAACAAACCCTTTAATTATATAATTGGTATTAATAAGTTCACTGCCATGAGTACTATATTTGGTACTCACATGATTTGTCTCCTCCGCCATACATTTTAAACACGTTTTGTTCTACAGGCTTTGAGTACCAATTCTGTTACTCACGATTTGACTCTCAGGCTTTGAGGGTCAATTATGGTACTCACTAATTTTCATGATTACGTCACTGAGAATCATAGAAAATTATCTGTTTCTCCCACCCGACGCACACCAACATTGGTTCGATACGGAGCTATATGGGATTATTTTATAAATATCAATTTAAATAAATTTATTTCTTTTATCGCTATCTACCGGCAGTTATATTCTACGCCATCGAAAAACCATCCAGTGAGCTATCTATACTATCTATAATCAATGGTAGTATCAATAATCTGTGGTTATTATGTTCAGTATTTATTGTATTATTGTAAAAGTTGTTGAATTATAATAATTTGCACAAATTAATTGATTATTACAGTTACCTATTCAATCAGCAATACTTCTACTGTGGTCTGTTGAAACTACATCGATTTTTAAAATAACCCAACCATATTGCTGATTGATTATGGTAATAAATATAAAATTTATCTCGATTTATATAAATAAAATGTTAAATTTATTATCTTTATCTAGATAAAAGTATAATTAAATTATCTTTATCTTTATCTAGATAAAATTTTAGTTATCTGGGCTCAACACTGACCAGCAGTAATCGGCCATCATATTATCATCCCATCGACGTTGATATCGCCTTTAATTAATTAATCCAAAAATATAATCACAGTTCGTGTTTAGACGTCGTTCAGTCCACATATAAATTGTCACGTGCTTCGCTTTTATCAGTATTCGATAGCGTGTGTAGTGTTCTTCGTGTACAGTGCTCGTCGCGGTATTCGTACGGTCGGTAATGTATAAGTTATTTAAACATTCCCCAAGGCTAACCTATAAATTACATTATCTACATAATTATGAAGCCTAAGGGCTGTGACGCACTAGGCAGTCTGGCTGCGGCAGCCAGGCTGCGGTAGCCAATGCCATACATGATTTCTTATTGCAGCTCGCTCACTAAGCAGCCAATGTTTACTGGTTGCCGCGGCCAGAAAAACGTGTGCGACTACACGGCAGCCAACTCGCTGCGCGCAGCCAGAGGAAAACAACGTGAATGTATGTGGCTGCCCGCAGTATCCGCTCACTAGTTTGGCCAGCCGGTTGTGTTTTGCCTTGTGCACGAGTGTGTAGTTTTTCCTCGATTTTTTACGATCACCGCGTTTTTATTCGAGAAGTCGAAAGTCGAAAAGCAATTTGGGACGTAACTTCTGATGAATACAGCGATCGTGATTTAAAGAGAAGACGATGGGAGGAAATTACAAATATAATATAATTTTCTAAAAGTTCATCAAACGATTGCACTGACATTCTAGTATAACTAAAAAAACGTTCCGGATAATTTCGAAGATCTTTAAAATAATTTTGAAACAACCCCTTTGAGTGCCGTTCCATAAATATAGGATGAATCCAATATCTTTTTTTTGTTCTGCGCTTCTTACGAGACAAATGGTAAATAGTGATAGCCTCTTCTATGTCCATTTCGATCGAAAATACGATTTTAAATGTAAAAAAAAATGTACGATATGTATTGATTGACAGCGGTCGACCGACTGACGGACTTGACGTCGATCAGGCGGTCGGTCGTGGAGTGGCTGCTCAATAACTGGCTGCTCAACTAACTGGCTGCTGCAGTCAGGCTGCCTAGTGCGTCAATGTACTAATAGCCTACCAACGCCTATCACCGAAATTCCCAAATCATCAATAAATAAAAATTCAACTACTAATACTTTCCCACCACCGCTTATTATCTCCAACAGATTAATTGATCAAACGGATGAAACAGTTCTTCTGACTTATTGAACAACGAATCCGATTGAAAAACAATTCCATTAAATTATATTAAACGAAATAGATCTCCAAACTATACTTCTCCTACCACAAAAAAAAAGGACACAAATATTTTTATTTCTACAAACCGTTTTACTCTGATTGCTCCTACTAACGAAGTTCAACTAATAGATACAGTTGAGACTCAATTTGTAAGCAATGAAAATAAAACTTCAAAACCATTTCCTATCTTTATTCAAGAACAAATAAATTACAACAATTTCTGCCAAAAAATTAATGAATTAATTGATACCTCTGGATTTGATTGCAAGAGCTCTACTAAAGGTCTTAAACTGCAAACATAAAGCCCTGACTCATACCGATCAGTCATCAAATATCTCAAGAATAATGACGTCTTATTTCATTCATACCAATCAAAAGAGTAAAACCATATCGCGTCGTAGTTAGAAATATGCATAATTTCACAGATACCTTTTTTTATTAAGCAAGAATTCTTAAATAAAAGATTTGTCACTAGTAACATAATGTGTAACTCACAAGTTAACCAATATTCCCCTACCGATCTTCTTTATTGATATTGAACCAAGTCCAACAAATTCCGATATTTTCAAACTTAACTCATTATGTTATACAAAAATTAAAGTTGAAATTCCACACCCTAAAAAAGTAATTCCACAATGCTACCGCTGTCAGTCTTATGGCCACACTCGAAGCTAATGCAATCACTCTCCTCGATGTGTTCACTGTGGTGAGCACCATGAGTAAACAACATGTACTAAGGATCGCAGTTTCCCGGCTAAATGCGCTCTATGTGGTGGAAATCACTCGGCTAACTTTCTGGGTTGTAAATTCCACCTGGATCTTAAAAAAAGATTACTACCGAACTCTTCAATAAATATCTTAAATAAAAGTTCCACTCCTCGTCAATCACTTGATGTGAATGTCTATGAATTTCTGTAACAAGCTTACATACAACATTTCTTACAATTAAATCAAGACTCAACTTTTCACACTCAAGACACCAACTCAAGCCAAAACCAAAATATCACTGCACATCTCTTCTCATTCAAAGCTTTAATAAACCCACTTATATCACTTCTCGCATCATTGACAATTTTATGAATAATGCTAGTAAATAACTTGCAACCACTCTCCATATTTTTACGGAATGCTAACGGCATCCTACAACATTTAAATGAACTTCAAGTAGTTTTTAATGAAAAAAAAGTTTTAATAACTCATATTTCTGAACCTCGCCTAACTAAAACCTCTACACTCAAGATATTCGGATTTGATATTATCAGAGCTGATCATCCAGATGGTACTGCACACAGAGGCGCTACTCTCCTCATCTCCAATACAATTAATCATGCACCTCTTCCGTCATATCTGTCTAAAATATTCAAGCGGCAAGTACTTCAATGACAATAAACTCTGTAACTATTTCCATCTCTTCATGCTATTTTCTTCAAGGAAGACCTTTTCCTTTGGCAGAATTCAGTAATCTTTCTCAATCTCTAAGCTTCACCCATATTATTGGCACTGACTTCAATGCTAAATATCAAACTTGGAGTCGGTCAACAAACACCAGAGGCTGTGTTCTAAAAAATTTTTTCTCGTTCAATTATCTTAAGGTAATTACATTCCTTTTTCCAACCTATTGGCCATCACATAGCAACCGTCATCCCGACACTCTTGACTTATTTATCACCAATCTTTCAAATCACTTTTCCACTGAAATTATAAGTCTAAATGACCCAGCTTCTGATCATACACCTGCCTTGTTACAAATCGGAGCTCATCCCTCTTTGAATAAAAATAAACCAACTATTTTTCCGGGTACTACAAACTGGAACAAATTCAAAGACATCATCTCAAAAAAAAACTACTCTTAATATAAAATTAAAATCAACTACTGATGTCGACCAAGTAGTTGCCAAACTCTGATGACATTCAAAAAGCAGCCAAGGACTCATCTACCAAGAGTCCACCTTATTCTCAAACAATCTATCGCCAGAATCAAGACAACTCATTGCTAAAAAACGCAGAGCCAGATCAAAATGGTAATATACTCACTACCCGGTAAATGCGATAAAGTACAACTCTCTTTCCAATAAACTAAAGTCACTACTCAAAACTCATAAAATCAACTTGTACAAAAGTCCTATACAAAAAATTAAATTTTCTACCGGATCCCTCTGGCGTAAAACAAAGTCAAGACTCCCACCCAAACAACTCACTTGCTTTCTCAGATAAGGAAATAGTTGATATTCTTGCCGAAGAACTAACAGGAGGAATCAAACCTCATCTCATTTTCACACCAGTACTACATATGTCGAATGTTTTAGATTCTCTTCAATCAACTTTACCTATGGCCCTCCCTGCAAAACTAACCTCCTTGCGGAGATGGTAGGCATTATGAAAAAACTTGCAAATATAAATCTCCGGGCCAACAAAGGGTTTAAAAATCTCCTACGGAAATGATTGTTCATCTATCACTTATTTATAATGCTGCCCTCCGCCTATCTTACTTCCCAACTACTTAGAAATCATGAGTCATTTTCACTGTACTCAAACCTGGTAAGACTCCAGAAAACCCCTCCTCGTACTGGCCTATTAGCTTTCTACCGTTTCTTGGTAAATTTCTAAAAAAGTCATCCTCGAGCGCATCACTACCATTACACAATTTAATAACAGTATTCCGAACTTCCAGTTTGGTTTCCGTTCTCTTCTTGCTACAACCCATCAACTTCACTGTTCAGTGGACACCATCTCATCAGCATTCAAAACCAAAAAATTCTGTGCTGGAGTCTTTTTAGATGTTGCGAAAGCATTTGATACCATCTGACATGACGGTCTTCTTTTAAACTAAAACAAATATTTCTTGTCCCTTTATACCTAATACTTAAATCGTATCTAGAAAACTGATCATTAAATGTCCGTCATAATTTACAACACTCTAATCAATTTCCTATTTCTGCTGGTGTCCTTCAAGGCAGTGATATTGCTCCATTCTTAAATACCATTTACACGTCTGACCTGCCCTCATCTGAAGATACTATAGTTAGAATATATGCTGATGATACCGCCTTATTATCAGTTTCTCTAGACCATATTATTGCATTTCATCAACTACAAACTCACCTAAATACTCTTTCACAATGGTTCACCAATTGGAAGATAAAATTAATGAATCCAAGTCTTTCTTTGTCACTTTAGCACTTCGACCTTATAGCTGCTCTTATGTATCAATAAACAACATTAAAATTCCCCACTCGACCGAAGTGAAATACCTTGGCCTTATTCTTGTCAGGCGTTTAATTTGGTTTCTTCATCTAAAGAATAAGCGTAAAAAGCTTAATTTCAGATTCCATCATTTAAGGCCACTCCTTCGTTCTAACTTAATTATACTCATCAAAATCATCCTATATAATTCAATCTGGACGTATGGCATCGCAATTTGGGGCTCTGCAAAAAACTCAAATAAAAGAACTACAGTGAAACCTTCACTAACGGACACCTCCCACTAGCGGACGTTTTTTGGGGAACGGGGACATTTTCACTACTTTTTCATTGAAAAACCTCTGAATAGCGGACTCTCCGAATAACGGACATTATTTATGGTAAATCCCTAATCTTTATTTGATAATAATACGTATTCACATTCGTATTTATTCTCGTAATAATGTAATTACGATAACAAACTCTTTATGGGAAGATAAGATTACGACAAATTCGGTTATCGGTGAAACCGTTAGGTGTAAAAGGTTATGACAAAAGTATGGGAGTTAGTGACGGTTTTCGACGCGATGACGACTACGTTAAAACGAAAGCGGTTGTCGCTTCGCGAAAAAATGACATTTTAGATTACCGTAAAACAACGGAAACATAGGAATTCGTGCACTCGCAGAAAAGTTTCAAGTTGAATAACACAGATTGCCGATATTGTGTCTGACACAGAAGAAATTTATAAAGTGTGGGTCGAAAATGGAAATGAAGAACGAAAATTAACGAAATTAAGAAAATGTGAAGGCAGTGTGATTGATAAAGAACTTTTCGTCTGGTTTAGCAAAACTCGGGAAAAAAATATTTCCGAACCAACAATACAAGAAAAGGCTAAACAACTTGCTGAAGTTCACGGATTAAATGATTTTAAAGCTTCAAACGGGTGGCTTGAAAAATTTCGAAAACGGCATAACATTTCGTATAAATCTATTTGTGGCGAAGCTTCAGCCGTTGATAGAATAGCTGTTGATGACTGGAAGAAAAAATTACCAAACATAATCGATAAATATGAAAAGCGAGACATCTTCAATGCCGACGAGACTGGGCTTTTTTTTAAAGTTCTACCTAATAAAACTATAGCATTTAAAAATGAAACTTGCAGCGGTGGAAAAGTTTCAAAAGAACGGTTGACTGTGCTATTGTGCTGTAATATGATTGGTGAGTTTGAACGTCCTCTCGTCATAGGTAAGGCAAAACGACCGCGAGCTTTCAAAAAATTAGACGTAAATAAATTTCCCGTTGACTGGTGTTGGAATAAAAAGGCCTGGATGACGACACAGATTATGACAGACTGGCTTATGAAATTTGATAAACAAATGATAAAAAAGTCGAAGAAAAGTACTACTTTTTGTCGACAATGCAGCTCCTCATCCCCATCTTAAATTACAAAATGTTGAGCTAGTCATTTTTCCCCAAATATGACGTCTCACTGTCAACCTCTGGACCAAGGCATAATTCAACAATTTAAAAAGCTCTATC